CCCAGACCCTCGTGTTTTATGCATTTGAGTTCTATATTATTTGTAAAAAATTAAACATTGGAAATTGTCATTATGAAATCGAATTCAAAGTATAGTTGAAATAAACATAGAAGATTACAAAATAAGAGAAATGATGCAAACTTTGTAAAAACAAATCAAAAATAATATAAAAATATAATAAGACAGAGAATGTACATGAAGATATAAAGGCCAGAAAAGGTATTAAGTAACTTACATTCTTTGTAGTGGGGAGTTGGCAAAGTGTTCTCTTCGTGTCTGACTGATAAGTGTAGGGTGTCCGAAAATTCTTAGCGGCAGTGGGGGCTTTGAATAACATCGGTTGGTAAGACTTAGGTGAAGTAATTTATAGTAGTGGGTGGGACTTGGAATTCTTGAGGGATGTATTTTGTGGAGTTCTTATCTGAGAGAGACTGTCTGTTAAGATTTTTTTGAAAATACTAGTGAATGGAAATTAATTAATTTCTGGCTAATTGTCGTGTCGCAATGATTAAGAATTTAAGAAAGGAAAAAAGGAATTTTCGCTGTCCAAGAGCTATCAGACAGACTAAAGTCATGAAATAGGCCCATTTTTTAGTAACAGCATAAGTCTGAAAGACAATTAGCTTTTTACAATATATACAACTGAGTAATTACATTATATACAAATCCTTCAACTGATAGTCATCCAATTATTCCGCCTTCTCAGGTTTAGGAACAAATTATCATATCCCTATCAGTTAAAATGATTTAGAGTGAGTATTTAACCTGCTCTTTAAGGCAATGGTTAATAAATGAATGGGTATTAGATTATATATATAATTTATTTACTAAAAGAATAATTGATTATATATCTCCTAAGATTAATTTTAGTAGAATTATCTTAAAAGAATGAATTCATACTTGTTTCAATTTCGAAGTTCAATTTTCGTAAAATAAGTTCAATTTCAAGTAAGTTCAATTTCGAAAATGTTTTAAGTAACTTGAATGTAATTGTTAAAATATTTAACGTGGACTTGAATTATATCAGAATAAAAAATTTTCAATTGTAAAAGAATAAATTAAAGCAAGTAATTAAATTAAATGCAAGTAATCATTGCCATGATCGGAAATTATGACTTTTCAAGGGGAACAAACCAATCCCGTTCAATGAACAATAATTAGAAATAAATACGAAGGTTTTCGTCCTTTACTCGAGCATAAGCGATGCCAAACCGGCAATTCAAGCTAGGCCAAAACATTCCGTGAGTAGAAGGGATAAGAACCAATGCAGAGAAAACCAAAGACTCATCCGATAAGCATTTTAGCTAATTCACTTTGAGTGAAAAGCATTTCTGCAGTAAAAAGTGATATTGCTCGAGTAATTGTCCCCCGACACCTCGTGTTTATGCATTTTAATTCAAAACATTTGTAAAAATAAAAAAAATTGGAAATTGGCATTATGAAATAAATTCAAAGTAATACAAATAAACATTAGAAAATTACAAAATATAATGCAATTTTATACATATATTCCTACGTATGGGTTCACTTTTTTAGATACTTCTACTAAAATATTTAGGAAATAATATAATCAATATTTAGTAAATAAATTATATATATATATATGTATCAGCTTTAGTCGTAGCTTAAATAATCAGACGATAAGTTAAAAAAAACAGGATCCATTATTTTATTCAGGAGAAATAGCAGTTACAAAATCAGATATCCCGATTAAATAAAAAGAATTACTATAAACTTTTTGTATGAAGTTTACTGCATCGTGACATTAAGAAAAAGCCCCGATATTCCTTTGCGAGTCTTTTTATAGCCTCTGGAAGGCGGAGCTTCCAAGAATGATGTCAGCCTCGTCAGCCAATCCATTTTTTTTTTTAAATATCTCCAAAACATTCTATAACTGTACGCGTAGAAAAGGCGGGAAAAACAACTGACTACGGGGCTGTGGATTTAATTCCACGTACTTTCAAATAAGAGACCGTCGCCATTAAAAGTGAAAAGAACATACAGTTAGAATTTTAAGTGTATTCTTGATTATGGAATTTTATTAATACACACATATATATATATATATACAGAGTATACAGAGTGATATACAGTATATACAGAGTGATTCTAAATTGTTTTTACAAATTAAGAGGGGTGATAGTACTCATCTAGATGAGCAATAATTACCATAGAACATAGGGTCGCATTCCATTCTGAGAGACAGAAAAGAGGAATATTTGAATTCCAACTTGAACTTACAACAGTGTTGAGAGAGCGAATGAACGAGACCAAAAGTTGCGCAATCAGTTTAGTGAAGTTGATTTCTGTAGATTTTTATTTGTATACATATTTAATAATTATTTTTTTCTAGTCGGTAATTAATTGTTAATATTATAGTATTTTAATTATTTTTCTTATAAATTTTAAAATTGTGTAAATGGCTCGGAGAGGCCTCATCATTGCCGAAGCAATGAGAGTTTCCTTTTTTTTTTCCCCCTGTTTTTTTTTGGGGGGGTGCAGGCCTCCCCGTGTTGCACCTTGGGTTATGCTAAATCTGCTACAGAGATCAGATTCTACTGTTTTTAAATCATAGACAAAGTATTTTACTGTAATACGTGCTTCACAGCACTGCTCACCTATTGCAGCTCAGTGTGTTCGCTTGTGTGACACACCCACAATGGAAACGGCTTTAGGCCTCTCCTAGGCCTAAATAGACTGCCTACAAATATTTTTGGTAAAATTCCAACTTAAAAGAGTAGCGTGCCGGCAAGGGTTAAAAACACCTATCTCTTTAAATGGGGAAATCATACTTTATACGATTATTCATTAATATAGTTTATACTGATGGTGCCAAGATAAAAGGGTTCAGTTTAGAAAAATTCCTTTCCAGTCTTCCAGTTATCATTCTTCCGTTAAAAACACCTATCTCTTAAATGGGTAAATCATACTTTATACGATTATTTATTAATATAGTTTATACTGATGGTTCTAAGATAAAGATAAAATGGTTCTAAGATAAAATGGTTCAGTTCCTTTCCAGTCTAGAAAGGCTTGACAAGTGCTTAATAGCTTAAATGCAATAGGTTTAAACTTATTATTATCTTTAAAGTGTTTGTTATATTGGGTTACTGAAATGTAGAGTGTATTAAAGCGGGGTGTAGAAGTATGACTTAATTTATCGTATTCAGTTTAATAAAAAAGATATATGCGTTATTTTTCGTAAAAGCCAATACCTCTACTGAGAGTTTTCAAATAAATTTTAAGCTCCCTTTTAAACATTTCCATTCTCTATTGCCATCTAAGAATGAAATTATACAAAAATTGCTAATTATAATACGTAACTAATGATATATATTTCCTTCTTAATTACTAAAGTATGAAATTTCACCTTCCTTTTCTCTTTTAATGGTAGTAAACGTAGGTTTCGTGTACAAAGGAAATGAAAGAAAGCGACTCTGCAATTAAGAACGTTTCGTTCCTTTTCATTTTCGACAGGACGGCTTCAAATATGCGTCGACATAGTTGAGATTCAGTCCCGCTTCGTCAACTTTCGTTTATCTCCGTAAATCACCTTCAACTGAAATGAGAGCTGTTGTAATTAACGCTGATTCCATGCATTAATAACGATTTAAGATTGTCTATTGTTTCACCGCCCAGTATTCCTGATATTGGAACTCAGCTCTCATTACTTGGATTAAGGTTCGTTGGAGATACGCGGGAAAATTGGCGAAGCGCCCATTGCCAGAGGTTGTTAATTGCAAAGACGACATACCAGTGAAGGTGAACTGTAAAATTAAAGATAATCTCTAACCTTGGCTTCAAAATGGCAGATATTTTTGTTGTCAAATTTGCGTTCTGTGGAAAGGTTTGTAATCAGTAATGATGTATGATGCTAACAGTGAAATGCAGTTTTTTCACTGTGAAGATAACTTCTCCGTATAAAATGAATTTGTATGTCTGTCCAAGTGAAAAATCATGAGCATAACAAAGAAAAAATATTTAAAATACTATTATAATTAAAAATAAATTTTTTTTAAAAATTGAAAGCCTTCAGATTTTATATTACGCCCAGTGGGGGCATTTTTTTAATGTTTCATGTGTTACCTTTATTTATTAAATACCATGTTCTCCGCACTTAAATAACATAAAATTCAGTTCAACAGCAATATCACAAAATATTTAAAAACAGTATATCTTTAGAATTAAGGACAGCCAGTATGGCGCTGGATATAAAGTTTTGTTTTGGGGGGGTATTGTGTTGCCATTGCTCGCTTTGGAATCGTTGAGTTTGTTAACTGAAAATTCGTTAAAGTTTTACAAAATATGAAATAGATAATAAAAGAAATTCGAAATTCCATATTCGGGCTTCCAGTTGCCCATGTCCGGGTGGGGGATTAAGTTATTCAAAATTGGATGGCTCTAGGTACCGTCGTTTTTTCACAATGCGAGAAACATACATACATACATACATTCATGCAGTTTGTGCAGATTCTTCATTATTCAATTTCTTTAAATATAATACAGGGCGATAATATTTGGTGGCAACAGTTTAAAAAGTGATACGCCATTTATAGTGAACTGACGATAAATGCAGTTTCGCGACAAATAGCCCTTTTAGGGTAACGCTTCTTTGGGCTAATAAAGGTATAATTTTTTAAGAAATACACAGTATACGATGTCATAGAAATCTTCAGTTTCTCGACTTTCTTGCTGAGCAACATTAGTTCGTATTTATAAATTTAAAAAAAAAAAAAATGAGTAAGTTTGAATAAGGGAGTTTATTTATATTGCTATTAAAAGGATTAAAACACAGCTAAATTTTTTTAAAAAATTTGAATTTAATGGAAAGATTAGTTTTCGTCAAATAACGCTAACAATGTTCCATGCTGTGTGCTTTATCAAATGGAAAATGTACTTCTAAAATGTGAGTTCAAATGTGTGAATGCGTGACAGGTAATTTTATTATAACTTAAATGAAATTCAGGAACTAATGCTTTTTTTTATCATTATCATTTCAGAATTTTTTAAGGAACTACTAAGGACGTCAAAAAGTGATTTTCATGACATGTTCCTGAAGACTTATGGTATGCTGTACGACAGGAATTCATTCATCTTCAAGGATATGTTCGATGACTTAGAAAAATACTACTTGACTGGTGGCGTGGACCTGACGGCGGCTTTGGACTACTTTTTCGATCGTTTGTACAGGAAAATGTTTCAGGTGTGATACCTTATTTATTTCAAATCTTTAGAAATTTTAGAAATATCCTAGCTGCATCAACATCTTAAATGCAGTTATTATTAAATTCGTTTATGTGTATGGTATCTAAATTTTTTGGTAGCCCATACCTGATTGCTGTTCAACAGCAGGGATAATCAATCTTTTTATACCTACCGCCCACTGCCGTAGGCAGTAAAATTTCTTTGTGGTCATTTGGTTTCGCAGTAATTTTAATTAGCGCAACTTCAAAGTAAAGTTTGTCAAAGTGGAGGTTTGGTAAAAATTATATAATTAAGTTTATCCGTTAAAGTATACTGGTCATTGATTTATAAGATTTATGTTCCACGTAGTAGCCATAGTTCCACTTTGAAATTTATAAGTTCTATGTACACCTGAAAAAAAATCTGATGTGTACACCACATGACTTCCTTGTACGGAATATTAACTTATGCGCACTTTTTTCTTGCATCTCATTTAAACTTATTGGATTGAATTAAATCTACTTCGCCGACAGCGCATAAACCACAATAGAATAAATGCATTCTTTAAAATTCACACTGTTTGTTTACCATAGTGACACTCTGGCGCTAGGTTCACTTAACAGAATTATATTTCGTTCATTGCACGAAATTTATATCATTTAAAGAATTATCTAATCGTTGCCTAATGTTCTTTTCAAATACTATAATAAAGCTAGAACGATGTATAAAAGAAATTAAGCAAAACAAAACAAAAAAAGAAAAAAAAGAAACAGTTTTCACAGACGATTAAGTATTTTCTCATTCAATTAATTCAGTTCTCATTTCATGACAAGGCAAAAATACAAAAAAACTCAAAATATCTGTATTAAAAATTACGAAGTAAATCTTAAACACTTATTTCCCCGAAAAAATTCCAGAAAGGATTAAGCATGATTTAATTCGCAATAATAAATGAAGGCGTTATCTTTGTTGTTGCCAAGCTAAGTTGCTCTAGTTTGGCAACAAATCCATTATCCTGCTGTTTCAAATGTAAACAAGCAATGGCCGCCATCAAAAAATTATTTGGCTTAGCGGCACTTAAACATCTTTAAAATTGTTGATAAGTCTGATAATTCTAAAATTTTTGCATGCGGATTTACTAAAGGCGTAAAATTCTTAACCGGAAGATAAGAACAACATAATTCAATCATTTTTAAAGCAAAAAATGTACAATTTACAAAAATATAAGAGTAAAGAAACTGAGATTACTGAGCCGGGTAACAGAGTGGGATATATATATATATATTATCGGCCGCACCAAACGTATATTTATATACGTTTGGTGCGGCCGATTGCAACCAAAATACGAGGTGCACATCTACATGTTATAGCAATCCTATATACAAAATTTCAACGTTCCGAGGCTACTCGTTTTTGAGTTATGCGAGATACGTACGTTCGTACAGACGCCACGAAAAATTCTCTTCAGAATTCATTTTAAAGCAGTTTTATAATTTTTTTGGAAGAAAAGAGTCTTTTATTCTGTCCTTACATACAGATATTACGCAAAAGAAAAATCGTTAAATTACATTCAGTAGCGGTCAAAATGGATACTTTCGTTGAAATATGCTGCCTGAAACTTTTCGCGATTAGAATACTTCCTTTTTACTTTGTAGAAGGAAGTAAAAATGTATACAAACGCTTCAGTATGAGTGAAATCAATCCAGTCTTTCCAAGCAACAACCAATTCGTAAATAACTTTTTTGTTGCCAAACCAGGGAACAAAAACCTTTGATACTTCAGGATAATACGTATACATATGACATCATGATTTAAATTTAATGTAAATATAACAACATTTTCTCAATATCAATAAAAGAATTAACGTGGCATTAATAAATCGTGTCAATTATACTAACCAGAATCAAAGACGTTGCCAACAGCAGCTATTTATTCAAAATGCTGTCGTAAACGAAACAGTTTCGACATACAATGACGTCACTTTTAATCGCGTGCTTTCCTGAACGTCAGAATATGACCTTAAATAATAGTATTAACTACTAGTAACTATTAGTGTATGTTTAATACTTGGCAATGATATTTTTATTACATAGTGAAACTTACAAATTTTTTAGTAACAAACTACGTTTTAAAGGGATTTGAATCCCGAAGGACTATTAGTTTCGTTTTGGCATTTTGCGTCGGACTCATAAATGTCGGTTCACTTTTCAAACTGTTGCCACAAAATGTTAGAGTCCTGCATTATATTTGAAGAAGAAATAGAAATAAATAATGAAAAATCTGCATAAATGTATGTATATTTCTCGTATTGTGATGATAAAACAACGGTACATAGAGTCATCGAATTTTGAATAACGTAATCCTCCAACGAATATGAGCATGTGGAAGACCAAATTTGAAATTGAAATTTGTTTTATGATCGATTTCCTATTTTTTTTAAAACTTTGACGAATTTTTGATTAACAAACTCAAGGATTTCAAAGCGAGCAATGGCAACGTTGTGCAGAAAAAACATTTTATCTCCAGCGCGTGAGTCTCTGTATCGGAAATTCTAAAGATATGCTCGTTTTTAAAAAACTATTTTGCGATATTGCTGTTGCACTGGATCTTATGGTTTAAGTGCGAGGAACATGATATTTAATAAAGAAAGGTAACACACAAAATGTTTAAAAAACGCCCCATTTGGACGTAATTTAAAATCTGAAAACATTTCAGATTTTTTTTTTTTTTTTTTTTTGTGTGTGTGTGTGTATTTAATTTTTTTTTTAAACATTTAATCATTGTTTTATTATTATTTTATCTACAGCGCACGAGGCTGTGGCCAATGAGTGTAAATATTAGCGTTTTCAGATTTCGTAATTAATAACTCGGCACATTAAAGTTGTTCGAAGATGACGAAATGGCTCCCCCACGAATTTTTGGAATCCAAGGGAAGGGGGAGGAGTACCTCTCTCGAAACTCACCTCCGCGCCTTTCCGGAGTAGATGACGTCACAAGCAGACAGACACCCACAGATTTTAATTGTGTAGATTTCACGTAACTACGGTAGATATTAGAATGTGTTACTTGTTAATATGACGCAGTGCAGTATTTAAACGTAAACTGTATGCTACTGAATACATTGTTACCCCTTGGAATATAAACTTTATGTGTACAAATCTCATAATTCTGTAGTTAAATTAGCTGAGCTATCATTTATTTCATCTCCCATGGCAGTATGGATAAGACCACTGAATTTCGGTTTTGCGACCTAAATTCTATTCCCGATGAGCGAGCTAGTTTGAAAGAGAATTTTTATTGTTTTTCTCATGTATAATGTGTAAAGAATTTTTGTATCTTTTCGAAGCCAAGGAAAGTCAAAAATCAATGTTGCTATTAACGAGACGAATTTTTCAGCATTAGCCGGACGTGCTAACCATTTACACTATGCGCACGGGGGAATGGGATCATTCCTTACATTCTCCTCCACATAAACCCAGTCGATCAAAATCCAGACGCTGATGAATTATCGTCCACCATACCTTTTAAATCTGACGCCACTGTAGAGACGTTCTTATACTTTTCGGAGCCAAGCCACGTTAGAATTAACTGTGTCCTTGCTGGGATTTGAGCCCCGGGTCTTCCAATACTAGTTGTGCGTGTTACCAGCTTACATCATATGAGCACGCACAGGAAAATGCGATAATTCTCTACGACGTGACTACTATCTAATTTTCCTTAAAAAGTGCTTTACGAAGGGATCCTACCTTTAGACATTTAACTGTTTGTGATTTGTTAAACAGCAAGAATATTATTTCAGACAAACACGAATATATCTTAATAATAACGTCAGCATTGAAACACACATTTGCTGATAGTTTTCCTTGGCTGTTATCATCCGTGCGTTGCCAGAAGGTGCCCAAAAAGTTGAGAATTCTATCATTATTGATCCACGTAAGAGTCTTTAAAAATTCAGAAGTAATACGAAATATTTTAAGTACCATTTAATTTATAATTTTATACAAAACACCATCACGTCCAAGTTTAAAGCTTTTAAAGCGCGTCCATTCCCTTGCTGAGAATTACTTTAAATTTTACTTACAATTAAGTTAAACATGAGTCTGGTTTCTATTTGATTCGCGTCACGTATTCCCTAAGACCAGATAGTTATGCAAATGTAAAGCACGTGCGGGAAAATTTAAGAGCTAGCAACTCAATGTCTTGTTGCATGAAGAGACGTTGTGTTGCGGTGACTGCCGTTACCAATCGATCTGTGCGTGTTGTAAAGAAAGTACAGACTCAGCTTAAAAATGATTATATTTGCCCAGAATGATAAAATCGAGAGGCGAGGAAAATATTGTTTGAAATATGTCGTTGAAATGTTATTAATTTAATTGAAATTCGTTTAAAAAGTGTTAATGCATTGAATATGATATGAATGAGAAATAAAATTTAAATTCCATTCATAATGAACACTGCCACTGAACTGTTTGCCACTGTTACTTAAAAATTTGTTTATAAGATATTTATTTTTAGGACGACTGAACAATTTTTTAACTGGAGTGTAATATTCTAATTACTGGATACCGAAAGCTCTCTGATCGCAACATTGAAAAGGATTCGTCATGGTCTATGTGATTATGGCAAAGCTTCGAGGGCTATCTGCCTAAGGGAAGGGATGCCTTCGTGGAGGACTTTCTAAGGGAAACTGGATCGTATACATTTTACACATGGAGAAAACCACGAAAATGCGCATGCAGCCAGCCCGTTCCGCGGGATTCGGACCGAACTACCAGTGTTCAGCGACTTTACCGCTCGCCCGCTGGTGGGCCCGGATTCATCAGGAGTGCACCAGCTTTATTTTGGCGTATCGTCATCTGCACGGTGTTTCTCGTATATTTGTAAGATCTGGTTTTCTTGGCTAACGTACACTGTTACTAGATCTACTTAAAAGTCTGTGTAGCGACTTATCGCCAAGACTAGGTGATGAATACAACAGGGCAAGGATGTAAAACACCCTTCTATTGAACACATTTATCT